TTCTTGTCCATCAGCAAGGATACCCTACAATATGCAAATAGAAGTTACAACTAATGAAAATATTCAAAAGAACAGTAGAGAAACATAATTCATGTAGTCGACCCCAAACCCAAATAGTTTGGATGAAGGCTTTGTGAGTTGAGTTAACTAATTAAACTATGTTCATGCATTTTTGTATCTCAACTTCTAGAGCTTCTGAAATCCTTGAATTAGTCAGATTTCTACCATAGTTAGATGCTTCTGAATACTTACCTTGTAGACCGGACCGAACCCGCCTTCACCTATCTTGTTATCAAAAGAGAAGTTGTTTGTGGCAACTTCAATTGTGCCCAGATCAAATTGTAAGGACTGCAATATTATAATTTCATCCCCAACTACACAACCAGGCAATAAAATTGTTGAAGTTTGTGAATGACACTACTGCAAAGGTAATAGCATGAAGCAATACAATTTCATGATAAAATGATGTCTTTTATCCTTACCATTTTCTTCTTCTACAACATTGTACTTTCTCCTTGGTTTCCTACTTAGGAGGCAGAAACCTATAGCCAAAAGAACCATAGACAGACCTACTGGGACTACAATGGCAATAATTGTTTCTGATGAGAGTTTCCCTTTACCTGTGAAATCGAATATAGATTACACTAACATACACAATAACAATTACTCAACTAAAATGTTAAGGCAATAACCATCAATAATAAATTGTCACATAAGCTTAATAGCTGCGGGTCAAAAACCATAGAGCTACTTTCATATCACTCGACTCAACTCAACAAAATGTTATCTCGTTTCTCAAATGGAGAGATCAATGAATTGGGATGATTTCCTGCCCGACCATGGATCCCATACTTCCCCATAAACTGAAAATTCATAACTATAAGTTTTATGGAAATACCATTTAGTTGGCCAATGCCTCCGACTATTAAGACCCCAAAAAAATCAACAAATTAAAGCTTTATCCCAACCTTTTGGGGGATAAAATAACATGATATGCAATCTACTATATGTACCATGAAAGAAGAATTTTCTAGCCTGTACTCGATAATTCACCTATTTAGGCTTGTGCTTCGAAGTTTTACCTCAAGGACTTGTCAAGGAACTTGGAGGAGGAGAAAGAGGCCGAGGACTAGAAGGAGGAGGTGTCAGTGAAGGTGATGGAGCTATGGCTTTGATTTCGTAGAATGGGTATATCTCGTATCTAATATTACAACTTGGTTGCAAAACTCTCCCACCTTGTTTTCCATTGCAGCATTTTGGCAGATCACCTATAGCCACCCGAAGACATTGATTACAATCAGCCCCGGATAAATTTGGTGTGCATTGCACTAGGCTGTATAGTCTCTGAAGACTTATGAAGTTAACTTCTCCAGTTGCAAACCTCTTGACATATTGATCATTTAAAGATTGATCGCTCGAAGCCCGATTTGCTAATTCATCCACAGTATCTCCCTGCACCTGAGCAAACCGAACCTATTCTGTGATATTCTGCATATTCCACATATACACCTTAGGTGATTCATTCATGGTCCCAAACAAGACATGTTATCATAACGTAGCATGCACTGATCATACCAAATATAGGCCAATTTCTCCTTGGTACATTTCTGGACTATCTCTTGATTGGCATTCACTACACAATCATGGCAAGCATTAATGGTAACATCACCTCGACAGAGAAACAAGCCGTAAGCCGCACCTGGAGGACCACAACCAGCAGTTGCATTATAAAACAAGTTGTTGGGTGTATTGTTAGAAGAAAGATTAGAGAGGAGGAGATTGAGATTGGATTTAAAGGTGTTATTAGGAGAGTAAATGGTTGTGTTAGATCCACAAATATGATAGAGGTATTCAAAAGTATTAGCTTCAGTACTTAGACTGAGCAACCAGAGCCTGGTAATTACTACCACTAAGGCCTTGGAGACAATATCTCTGTAAGGAAACACCATGATGCCAACAATGAGAAAGAAAGTTATAGAAATTTTACTTTTATGTAGCAAATCATTGCCTTGGCTTCGGGGCGTATATAACAATATCTGTCAATAAAATGGTTGTGCATTATTTCTTTCTTAGTGTTCATATTTGGAGAATAGGGCAGTTTGACTTACACTCATCACAAGGAGGAAATTTCTTTGAGAAAGTTTTCACGACACTTTCAAAAAATGGAAAGAGCAATAGAATTGACAATTCTGTCACAGAAATGGAAATAATCAGTGGCCTGTTTGGGTTGGACCATGCTGTGCCCAAGGGCTTATAGACTAGCTTCTTCTCTCACTCAGCCAGTCCATGGTAGGTGCATTTCTTTGGCTGGACTGGGCCTAGGCCACCTTTATCTTTCCAATGATATGCGTCCTGAATCTTTCTTTGTCTCGAACCCCAGACACCTATAATAATGGTAGAGTAAGGAATCGCTCCAAAACGGAATTGACCAATGATGGTTGGTCAAAGCTCCTATAGGTAATCAGTCCTTTCTCATGAAATCGTAAGTGAGACTTCCGTATATATGGCACCATCCCAAGCTTTCGTCGTCAGCCTTGTCATTAGATCATTATCTATTTCAGGGGAGTAATATTGTCTTAACAGCCTTAACCTTACTTTGAAAAATTATTCTAAAAAATATTTGAAAGTTTTTACTAATGGCATTATCATTAGATTTATAAGTATCTATCTAGCAAAGAAAATTCATAAGTTACAGTGCAAATGGGTCATTTTTAAAATGTCAAGAGATCGTCGTGTCATTTTCATCAAAACTCATGAAATTCATAAATAATCTACAAACCATTGAAGTTGAGATCAAAAAAAAAAAATCCATTGAAGTTGCGGAGGAGGAGGATTCTTAGTCACAAGATTTACCTGCTCTCTCGCTCAGAACGCAAGGAGTGAATTCGCCATAAATTCGTGTTCCCATTTTTTTGAATTCATAAATCCAAAAATAAATTCGTCAATTAATCATTTAAATTACTCAGGGTTAGGAGCCCAAATACTAAATTGGGTCAGTCCAAATATTAAACTAACTTCTCATATTCTGTACCAACAGAATATTAGGCTTTCCAACTCAGAAGGTCAACCCGTGCTAACAAGAGCTGCCACTCACCTCGATTTATAGGTAAGTGTTTGTGGGAAGTTGCCTTGCCTATCTAACGTGGGATCACCTCTCACGCATAAATATGCCTTTCAAATCTTTCTGATTTTTTTTTTTAACAAGAAATGCTTTTTGATTTAAATAATTTATTGTATAAAAATTAGAATTTAGCTTTTTTAATTATATTTTTTATTCATTTCTATATATGTAATTATGCATAAACTATGATGTTTTCAAGATGCTCCCCCTCTAAGGGTTTTTAAAAAATTTCTACTCTCGCGCTCCCGCTCCTACTCTAAGTGACTTAGGGAGGACTCTTTCGGCCTTTGCTATATTTTTAAAAATATCAGTTAAGTCGACGTTTTCAAAATCACTTTCAGAAAAGTATTTAGATTTAGAAATAAGTTTAAAAATTAAGGGTGTAACTTGGGTAGGCCAACCTAGCCAAATCCAAAAAAATCAGGGCTTGGATTGAGGTTTTAAATTAAGAAATTTTGGAGACCGATTCCTCTTTATGGACTTATTTGGAGATAAGTCTATCAAGGAAATTATTTAATATTCAGTTCAGTTTGATTTTCATTGTTTAAAATACCCTCATTGGTTATATTTAATTAAAACAATTTTAGAAACTAAAAACTCCTAAATTTTAGGAGTTTTCCTAACATTAAAATTTTCTCTCTTATATTTATTTATATTCATATATAGAATATGACTATTTAAAAATAAAAAATAGTAACATTCAAATACAAAAATTTTACCACTTAAACAAAAAAAAAATTGTAACATTCAAAAATAAAAAATAGTAATATTGAATATTAATATTTTAAAAAATAACATCAATAACATGGTCAACAAAAAAAAAATAATATTGAATATTGATATTTCGGAAAAATAATAACATTTAATATTAATAGTAACATGCTCATCAGAAAAATAATAACATAGGAAAAAGTAGTAACATGAACAAAAAAAAAATAGTAACATGAAAAAAAAAAGTAACATATATAGTAATATTCAATATTAAATTAAGCATAGTCTTCTCACCAAAGAAAAAAAATCGAATCTATAATTTCTAATTGAGATCTGAAACAAGCCCTACAACATGGATCCAAAAAATAAAGAATTTCTAGATAACATGAAATTAATTTATGTGGAACTTCCATCAGATTTTTGGACAATGGAGTGGAGAACTTGTGGGTTAGTCAAAATATGTTGGCCCATACTTTTTAAAAATGTATATAACCTTTTGATTTTCATGTTTCTTCCAAACTTTATCATCATCGTTGTCGTCTCAGGATTGTAGTATCGAAAACTAGACTTTGCACGAAGTTGTTGTAGGAAAGATTGTTGGGAGAGGATCTGAAAAGACAAGTTAAAAATAATTGGGACCACTGAAGTATTTGGTCGAGAAATCTGGGTGTGAAGTTTTCTAGAGGAAAGTCATTGTATACAAGATAGAGAGAGACAGAGAGAGAGAGAGATGGTAGTGATGTTAAATTTAAATTTGAATATCATATTTTATGGAAAAATCTTCTATTAAGTGTGAGTCAAGATAACCGTTTAGGAAACTGATTTAATGTTGAAGATTGCTTTTAAGTCATTAGAAGAGTATTTTGGAGTTTTGAAAAAATTGTAGACTTAATTACTTATTAATAAGATTAAAAATAAACTTACTCCTAAATAAATTTTATTAGCAGACTAAACTCATTATATGTCCCTTAACGAGGACTCAACCCCAATTTTCACTTTTTGGGTTGAACCTAGGCTAGAAAACTCCAATTCAAATTCAATTCGGATAGTGCGCAGATTGAGGTGTCGAATTTACGGGTTAAATCCGAATCCAACCCGAAATAATTAAATCGGGCTTACCCGATTATAGAACTCAGGCTCGACCTGAACTAGGGTTTCAATTTCGTTCTCCAGGTGCCTCTTTTTGTTGGTCGCTTATCTTCTCTTAGACAACCAACTCCATCGTTTCTCTCCATCTTTTTTGAGAAAATCCATCTCTCTCTCTCTCTCTCTCTCTATCTATCTATCTCTTACAATTGCTCCCCTTCTCTGCCTGTCTGCAATCTCCACCATCTCCTATTCGCCTTCCAAAACCCTAAAAAACCTAAAAATCCTCTCCACCTCCCCAACTTCACAGTCCCATCTTTTTTCTCCATAAAACCCTAAAATCCTGGTAGTGAAGCAAGTGGATCTGTAACAATGTCGATGTCGAAGAGCTCGAAGATGCTTCAATACATCAATTATCGGATGAGAGTTACCATCCAGGACGGCCGTCAATTGGTGGGCAAGTTCATGGCCTTCGACCGCCACATGAACCTCGTCATCGGAGATTGCGAAGAGTTCCGGCAACTACCTCCGGCGAAAGGCAAAAAGAACGAGGAGCGAGAGGAACGACGTACTCTCGGCCTCGTACTCCTCAGGGGCGAAGAAGTCATTTCAATGACCGTCGAAGGTCCTCCTCCTCCCGACGAGTCTCGAGCCAAAGGCGCCGGTTCCGTCCAGTCTGGGCCCGGTGTTGGTCGGGCCGCGGGCCGTGGCGTCCCCACTGGGCCGCTTGTCCAGGCCCAACCTGGATTAGCTGGGCCGGTTCGTGGCGTTGGTGGGCCTGCCCCTGGAATGATGCAGCCACAGATTTCTCGCCCGCCGATGAGTTATCCCCAACCGCCAGTTATGCGGCCGCCGAACCAGATGGGGGCCCCTTACCCTGGCCAGGCGCCACCTCAAATGCCTAGGGGCCTGCCGCCACCGCCTCAGTTTGCTCAGCGGCCAGGTGGGCCGCCACCTGGGTCATACCCGATGCCGCCTCAATTTTCACAGAGGCCGATGGTTCCGCCCCCTCAGATGATGAGGGGACCGCCTCCCCGACCTGGGATGCCACCTCCCCCGCACCCTGGTATGATGCCTCCACCGGGTGGTGGTATTCCAGTCTATGGCCCACCTCGTCCTGGGATGCCACCTCCACCAAATGCCCCTCCACAAAATCAGCCACCACAGCAGTGATTTGGTAAGATGTTTTGAAATTCAATGCGTTTATTGAATCTAATTATAATGCACATTTCTATTATCTTTGCTTGAACTTGGCTAAATGTTGTTGTAATGCTCTACATAATAATGAAATGTTTAGACGATCTCGAGAATAAGGGAAATCAAATCTTCTGTTTGGGTAGCTGGTAGAGAAATCTTCCCTTACATTGTGTTTCTGTCCTGTTGGAATGTGAGATTTTGATGTAGTTCTATAATTCATAGGTGCAATAAATTATTGATATTAGTGTTGTGAATGAGGTCAATGTTTGGTGCAGTGATTAAAGTATCGTGTTTTTAAACATATCAAGTGTTAAGTGTATGTTCAATTCAGTCTGTCTAGCACCCTCAATGAATGCATACTAAGTTGTGTAATGACCAATTTAGTGTGCGCAAAGTAACCTCATGATGCTCCTTTTACTATTGCCAAGACATTGAGACATATTCTTGAGTTGTTTTATTTCCTTTTGAGTTCCCTTCATCTTCTTGTGTATTCCTTCATATTCCTTGTGGAGACTTATGGAAAAATAAGAAAGACTGTTATAATGTGGCAGAGGTTGATGCATTGGACAGCTGGTCCTACTGACTATGTAAATTGATGGTTGGGGGACCACTAGCATTTATTCTAGGTGGAAGATGTTTTTTTTTTAATTTTTATTTGAAACACTTTGAAAAAGTACCACATTGATACCATAAAAATTTGATGATCTGGGGCATTTTGGTTTTCCCGTTGTTGCATAGCTAACACTAGTATTTTGAAGAGTTGTACTAGATTACGATTTATTCATAGAATATTTGTTTTCAATTCCAAGTCATAGTATTTGTTAAGATTTTGGATGGTGGTGCTCCCTATGCCTTTCCATGTATGTGTCTCATTGATCTGTTCAACAAAGTTTCGGTCTATGTTTATGATTCCATAACTAATGTATCCCCATTTAGTTGGAGCTTGAACTTGATGGGGCACCCTTTTTTTCCTGTCATCTTCTCGGTTTGTTTTTGCCTTCTCTGACTTCTACTTGAATTTTGTTGCTTCTTATAATAGTGAGTCATATGACGCATCAAAATAAAAAAAGTAAGTCATATGCTGGATGTTGTTAGCTTCAATGTATTTGAATTTTAAACCACTTGGGTGACCATCTTGGAATTTGCATTTGGTGGCTTGTATTTCATTTCACATGGAAAATTATTTTTCATTATATAAGTGATTTGAAAATGAAGATCTTGCCGGGTACCAAAAAAAAAAAGGAAAACCAATTTTCAAATGTAAAAAACAAACAAAAAGTAGAGGCCAAATCTAAAGTTTTGGAAATTTTGAATTATATGTAACCATATATTATTTGGATTTGTGTTTAGTTTTTTGGTCGTTAGAGAGGAAATTGGGTCCCTTAATCTATCTTATCAATGGTGTGGTTCAAACCAAAGTGCTTGCTCCTGTGTAGTCTTGCCTTTATAGGGGTTTAGGTACTAAATTAGTATAAGAATTTTTTTGGGTCCGACTATGAGATTAGAAAAAATTGAAAAGTAGATAAAAACCACTAGGGGTGATGATTTTTTATACGACACGCGAAATCGACACGAAATTAGCGGGTTAGGGTTGATTATTTTTCAACACAAACCCGTAAATGACACGACCCGTTAACACGAATAATAAATGAGTCGGGTTATTTTCAAACACAAAATTGACACGAACTAGTATTATAGCCATAAAATAATATTTATTATATTTTATCAAATAGTGATAAAATTATTGTATAAAAAAGATATTTTTACTCATTTTTATTATTATATTTATTAAATTAATTTTTAGTTTATAGAAAAAGTATGAATATAGGTTCATTAAGTGATAATTAAATTTTAAACTTAAATCTGAGCGTTAAATTTTTTATTCACGATTTATATGGGTCAGCAAGAACATAAATAGATCGACTCTACTCGACACGATTAGTTAAACTGTTTAAGTTAGAGATGACTAATGATTGACACGAACCTAAAATGACACAACACAAACACGATACGACTCGATTGCCACATCTAAAAACGACAACCAATGACTTATGCCAATAGTACTTATCTAGAATAATTACTCTAAAATACTCCAAACTTGGCATTCCAAATCTTCTTTGGCTATATTTTTCATTTTCATTTCTGTTGACAATACTTACATTGTCGAAAGTGCATTATGAAAAACGAATTCAAGTGCTTAAGTAATAGAACTTGCATTAAAATTACAAAGAAAAATGAACCTAGATGTTGTTACGTGCACACTTTTAGGAATTTAGAAAATAAACGAAAACTAAAATTGGGGAAATAAAACCCAATAAGAGTAGGGGAGGGGGTGAAAACCTCCAATGGTTCAATTCAAGAAGAACCGAATCTCCAAAATTTTACAAAAAAGTTTATCACAATATTCAATATACCATTTCCATTGATAGAAAGACATTTAAATTCAAGATGATAAAAATTACCTGAATAACTAACTTAACTCATGACTCTACTATCTTAGTAACTACCAAGAAAATCCACACCATACACTATCACTATCTATTCACTAATAATCTTTCAATAACTAACTCCTAGATTACATAAAAAATATATTAAAATGTGCACATAACAGATGCATACCTTGGCCACTAAATTTCCCCTGAATTGTTGGGACATTATATTGTAATTTCTTTCTCCTTATTTTTCCGCGTCACTCATTCTTGTTTTTTTACACACATAGCATTGCTTTTCAACTCATAAAAACTCTACTTGATTTTCTTGCAAAGTAAGCATGCTTTAGAATGCTTAATTATTTGCAGGCTAAGATTCCACATATATTAGGTGGCAGGTATTTTTTTATTAAACTGACTGCCAATATGATTTTTCTTTCCAATTGACAATATGTCAACATTTAACCAACTATGCTATAAATGGTTTTGGTGTTGCTAAGGTGATTTCAATATTCATGAGACTAAGGTTCTTTTTTGATAAAGGAAGTATATTATGTCTAGATAAAGAAAATCCCTAACATACAGAGCTCAAAATCCTCCTCAAATCCCTTTTCTTACATATCTTCTCTCAAATGTCACTTTCCAAGCATAAGAAGGAAACGAAAAGGGAAAGATTAAGGGAATGAAAACATTTTGATTTCAAAGTCTCGAGTGCTACTGTAACGTTTGCTTGCAATCTCTATTGAGCCATCATTTTCAACATACTCTCACGCCTCCTAGTGAATTGTATCCTCTGATTCAGGTGTATATGTAAATCATGGCGCACTTTACTCTCAAACTCCAGTTTCATTTCACATCACCTAAATGGCAGCTTCAATCCCCAACAACAACTCCTTCATAGTCCATAGTCCACCGTGTCCTGCAAAAAACTGCAAAGCAGATCATCACTCTCTTGAACATAAATAATCCAAAAGTCCCTCTACAAACTCTTGACCACCCATTTCCATTATCAAACCGACAATGACATTGTCAAAAAGGTCACTATCTTTTCTGCTCAAAACTCTAAAAGAAAATCCTCCGTGAAGTCTTTCTTGGGTTTGGTTTCGATTCAGCAACATTGGGTATTAAGTTATAAGGATTCTGGGCTTCAAGCTGGAGTTAAAAATTCCGAATGGGCTTGAGCATTGCTCAGTAAGTTTGAGTTCTTGACAAAGCTTGAGGAATTTCCCTTCTGTGTGTTGGACAGTAAGTGTGGTGCAGTTGTGAAGGGAATACCACATTGCTTGACCGGGGCACTTATTGAGGATGATGACAAGTTTCTTGGATATACATTATGTAAGGGTCTGTTATCGTTTGACCTGCACAATAAGGTGTTTTGTCAGATGCTGGTACCATGGAGAAATTTCTTGGATATTGGATGGTGAATGTGGTTGAAGCGAGAAACTGAGATAGTGGCTCAGAAGGCTAAGGGGATTCTGTTTTGTTTAATCAGGAAATCAAGGGTCAAGAATTTTCCAATTGGCAGAGCGGTAGGTTTACCAAATCATTTAGCTAAACGGACAACCTTGTTCTTGTCAAGGGGATGAGAGTCATGAGACAATTCAGAAGATTGGTCGAGGAAGATGGTCTAATGGAACTAATGAACAAGGGTTCATGGTCTATACAAATTAGCCGCTTGAAAAACACACCATGGTTCTTTACCCATCTATATTGTTGATATTATTAGTATTATTAAAAAGAAATATGCGTATTTGTTTGGTAAGCAGTGGGCAATATTATTTTGTCTACTCAGTTTTTGTTGGATAATTATTAATCAATGCACTTTTATCGAAATTAATTATTTTGTTAAAAGTTAAAACTCAAGGTTGATTTTGAGGTTGATTTTCTGAGTTAATTTAGAGTAAGCACAGGATGAATAAGAGATCATTTGGCTGTGTTAATATTTAAACATAGGAGATCTTAATTTTGTCCATGTGTCTTAGTCTTACTCAAGTTGGACACTCACCACCATGTGATGAATGAACTTAGCTATTAGGTGTCACAATCTCATAGGGCCAAAGAAAAAAGATTTGTAACAAGTCAGGGCACTCAGCTCTTGCCTGCTATCATCGCATTGCATGGATTATGCTTACCAAGGAAAATAACCTCCTTGACAGCTGACTGACATGACAACTTCATCCTCTAATACTGATGTAAATTCACCATATTGGATTGCTGACTCAGGGGCTTCCCATCATCTTACTTCTAAATTAGCCAATTTATCTCTATCGTCTGAATATCAAGGGACAGATCGGATCACCATTGGTAATGGTCAAGGTTTGTCAATCTCTCACATAGGAAGAATTCATTTGCAGCTCTCTTCTCATACTTTTGATATTTCCCTTGTTCTTTGTGTTCCTTCTATAACCTCCAACTTGCTTTCAGTGTATCAAATCTGTGTTGACAATAATTGTCAATTTATTTTTTATGCTAATTTCTTTTTTATTCAAGACAAGGCTATGGGGATGCTGCTCTATTAAGGCCAGAGTCATAATGGCCTTTATCCTATTGCA